CTGCTCGCTTCCACGCAGAGAACTTGCGCATGCGTAGTCGGACTTTAAACAGCTTCTAAAACTAGTTCTTTACAATACGTTCTGTACAGATCCTCAGGGGGAACTCAGAGAATCACAGGGGTATCACATAGACTTTATGAACGCAGCGTAGCTCGCGTAACAATAATTATAAAATATCAACAAATGAACTATTATATCTTTGTTGTTAAAATAATTCTCTTCAGGTTGAGCCTATTGCAAGATCTGGACCAGTTATCACTAGATACAGCACACTTAGTAACAGGTACACAAATAATTCTCTTGAGGTTGAGCCTATTGCAAGATCTGGACCAGTTATCACTAGATACAGTACATTTAGTAACAGGTATATAAATAAAATGTTTTTTATCTTAATAATTTCATTTTGTTTGTAGGATGTTGAACGCGTATGTATATCGAGTGTTTCTGAAAACCTTAAAACCCAATAGCAGTTCTTGGAAACCATCTGAATCAAACTCAACTAATTCCAAATTCTTCTCAAATAGTAGAAACCGAAGCCTTTCCTCAGCATACAATTTAAACCTAGAAACCCGGGTATTAAAGGAGAAGAGATGGTTTGATTGGTCTTCTAGACACAGTAGATCTGTAAGGTAAATTATGAAAGTCAAAAACTATTTTTTTTTATTTTCTAAATAAATTTTATAATCAGTTTTCTATGTAAGGAAATATACTAAGAAAACGCAGTACAATACTCAGGCTGATATTTGTTTATTTTCCTACCAGAATTTGCAGTACACTTTGTAAACAAAGCTATGGGAGGTTTTGGTTTTCTCCTTGGTAAGAACCTGTAGTTTTACTAATCAAAGAAACCGGGTTACCAAAGTTTTAACATTTTATTTATTTTCATTTTAGTTTTTAACAATATGTATAATTAAATAGATAATGGTCAAAGAAACTAAAGAGAGTGATCACACGTTTGCACACACAAGGATACAGTTCTTGTTGTATTTACTTAATTTCCTGCACTACACTCTTCTTTTCCAATGATTTCCGGGTTAACAAAATAAATAAAAGCCTGAGGGCAAAACTTTTAGATTGGGATAACGCTTAGCTTTAGCTGCTGAGCTCAATATCAACTATACCACACAGGGCCACGAGCGTAGCTATCCAACAAGCTATTACTTATCGGTCCCAAATTGAAGGGGACGATCCCCAGCCTGTTTATCCAAAACAGGAAACAATTACTCTCTCGTAGTAAACAGTACAGAGTTACTCTATCAACTGAGGGTATATTTCTATAGTTCAGATTAATGTAATTTATTATAGGCCTCTATATTTGCTACTCACTCACTTCCTTTCAAAACGAACCAAAAATTAACCAACTTATTGCACACAATAAAGTGTCAAAGGAGAAGGGAACAGTTTCAGCGATGAATTTTACACATTTAATGTTTAGATCCAATCCTGAAGTAGCTTCTAACTCTACGACACGAACTTGTGGGTTGCTTCTTATAGCAGATCATACATTTCATCATGAGGTAATTTATAGCAGATCATACATTTCATAATGAGGTAGCCTATAGCAGGTCATACATTTCATAATGAGGTAACTTATTGCAGATCATACATTTCATAATGAGGTAACTTACAGCAGATCATACATTTCATAATGAGGTAACTTATAGCAGATCATAAATTTCATAATAAGGTAACTTATAGTAGATCATACATTTCATAATGAGGTAACTTATAGCAGATCATACATTTCATAAT